GAAACCCGCATACCCACTTAATACAGTGAAGCATATTTGATTATACCTCGTTGTCCTCGGGTTCAAGATAATGAAAGTGTAAATTTGGATGTGAAAACAAACACTAGACGGCAATGTCAATACATTGTTGCAACTTTATCACCAAATTTCAGAAGACTTACGATTTCTCGATGGAACATGGGATGTATGTAAGCTCTCCTGAACACTATTGTTTTTCCTCGCACTATCGGTGGACTCTTTTTCCTCACAAGTCGGCCCACTTACGGTATCTGTTGGTGTGTTTTCTATATTTATATGTACCGGATCTTTAGCTTCTGTTCCAAAGTCCATGCTCTTATCGTGGTCTCCCTCCTTTCCCGCTTCATGAGTTGCTTCCATATTGCTATTCATACCCGCAAACTTAATAGCATTATATATATGTATATATATAAATAAAAGTATTTCCAAAAGACTCGGGTCCTCTGCTCACCGTATTCTTCTTAGATTGTATGTGTGTGTATGTACCGTATCTCATCACATATTGGGAGTTATCGTGACTTCACACTACGCGTAGAGTTGATATACTATATACTGTGTTATTAGAGTATTTTCTAATGTTTTGACTGATTCGATTACACAAGTCACCAAGCATCTGAATATGGACGCCTTCTTGTGTTAAAATAGAATCAGAAAGATTGTTATTCAAAACTGAAATATGTACACATTTGTTCACATAATTACACATTTTTGTCTTGATGCTTTTTTAGCTGGGTAACCCTTAAATGCCAAAGTTCTGATATACAATGTTCAATTCGGTTCCATTTAGGCGGCTATGAATTCCTCCGTGCTCCCCAGATGTTATAGGTCTACCCATAAATGTTTGTAATCGCTTGTCAACATTTTGGTTTTATTGAAAAAAGCATAGTATTGAAGGGTCGAATCAACTGTTTCGAAAAAGTGCGCTCATACCAGATTAGGCAATTTTACAAACAAAAGCCATAAATATATATAAATACATACTATATTTATACTGTACAGTATATGATTATGAGTAAATCCGTTCAATATCAACTTGTGAACACGTCAGTTCACTTCAGTTATTCATATACCATCCATAACTCGTACATCATCATCAACCGTCACTCAGTACTAGTATTTAAAGGTGGTTGTATAAATTTTATACAGGTGTAAACATAATGTTCATCGAGGAGTTCATTGAGAAACATGTCTCCGACGGAGCCCACCGAAAGTATGTTATCGTCCGTAGTGAATTCAATAACATTCTGATATATAATATACATATATATACATAATAAAACACACACACACACACACACACACACACACACACACACAC